CCACGATCCTCAAAATTCTCCTTGCATCTACCCATTCCCTGGTCCCAAAGCCACGTTCACATTTTTAGGTATTTTCTCCAGTAGCACTGCATGTTAGGGCACCAAAATCTGTTTCAGGAGTCATTACATAACAATGTTACCACTGACTTGGGGCCTGAAACATTTCGTGTGTATTGGCTCGAAGTTTCTGTGGGTTTGTAGCCTGGGCACAGTAGACCTGGGTCCTTTGCTTCAAGATCTTATGAGGCTGCGGCACGCCGTAGACCATGGCTGTGGTCTCATCTGAAGCTTGACTGGAGAAGGTGTGCTTCCCAAATCCCGTGGTTGTCGGCAGCGTTCAGTTCCTCAGATGCTGTCAGACTGAGCTCTCTCAGCCCCTCGCCACCTGGGCCATTCGGGTCTGACCGCTTCATTCCTCAAAGCGGTGGCGCGGGGGCTGGGGGAGAGTTTTCTTGAAGAAAAGGGTATTGCGGTCTTATGTAGGTTTAATTGTGGAAGTGATATCCTGTCATTTTTGTCATATTCTGTTGGTTAGGAGCCAGTCACCTGTCCTCCCGCCCCCCACCACACACACACTGAGTGGGAGAAGATAACGCAAGGTGTGACTTCCAGGAGGTAGGAACACGGGGACCGCATTAGAGTCTGCCCCCACTCCATTATCAAAGTTAATGGGGGCTTATTATAAGTTTTTTTATTATTTGATTATTTTTTTACCATATGATTCTTCATTCTATTTTTCTCTGTCTCCATGGGGTGTGTTTGCTTAGCAAGCCAAAGTGCTTCTCCTTTACACGTCATTCCTCTCCCCTCATGGGTTCTCTTAGCTCTCTCTTGGGGTAAAAGTTAATAGTAGAAGGAACTCAGTGTGTGTATAGTTTCTCCGGTACCACAGAGATTTGATTATTCCGGTATGGACCAGGAAAGGGACAGTCACTTGAGCCAAGCCAGGAGAAAATGGCTCTGACAGGGTCCTGGCTGGTTCAGGTGGGCAGGGGCTGCAGTGAGAAACTAGCACGGACCAAACCAGAGCAGAGCACAGCTCATAGCATGAAGAGAAATGACCAGAAGTGATACAGTGTCGAGAATCTAGTCCACATGGGGTTATGAAAGGTAGTTCTTTTCACAGAGACGAGGCTTGTGGAAAAATTGATAATTTATGGAGAAATATTGCTGGTTTATTAATTTACTTTTAAATGCAAAATGAGAATAAGCAGTCATGGGCAAAATTAAAACCTTAATTTTTAATGCATCACAAAATACATCTGTGACTTTCAGTGCTTTAAGATACTAGAGATCCAGGAGAGCCACTAAAGCATCACCAATGTTCAGCTGTTATGTGGCAAAAGTTAGCTGTGCGTAGAGGACTAGAGAAATGAAGAACCACTGGCTGGTCCATTGTGTAGATAATTTTATTCATAAATTAATAAAAATCCTTGAACAAGCAGAGTTGCCAAGGTAACCTACTTCTGATCCCTGTTGTTGTCTGTGACCGGGAAGGATGCTGGAAACTCAGTTGGGTAGTTTAACAAGAGGCACATCTGTCAGGAGCACGTGTTGGTTGGGGTGGTGGTGCAAGGGGGTCGGAGGGACCCTGCTTCCAGGAAACTGCAGGGAATTCAGTGTTTGAGCCTTGTAAGGGCTTTGCCTCTAACCAGACTCTCCTGGGTGGATTTGTGAGTGAAAACCCAGACATGAAGGGGCAGAGCTGGCTAGCCTAGCAATTTCTACTTCCCTCCTGACCTGCCTTGCAGAGGGTGACATAGTCACATATCCGGTGTAGCTGTTTTCCCAGGACTGCTGTAATAAGAGAAAGAGAAAAATGGAAGGCAACTGGTGGACAACTTTAAAATGCAGCCAAATATATCATTTATTGACACTGGTCGCAAGTGCTATGCTCCACGCAGTTTTCAGGCTCAACTGCAGTGGATTCAGCTATACTAACATGCTGAGTCTTTTCAGAGGTGGCCTGGCGTTGGCAAATATGAGAAAGTATTTGTGCGCTGCGATGTGTTTTGCTGTGGGAAAACGGTAACTCCCTTGCTGTGCTTTTTATTAAAAGCCAAGTGTTTTATAAGCATATTTAGCAAGATTTTCCTTTGCCCTCTCTATTCTTCTATTGCTTGTTTTTGTTTCTGAAAGCTAAAATGAGGGTAAGGGGTCCCAGTAGTCTATACCTTTTAAATGTCGGTGAATTGGCCTGGAAACGGGAGGTGGCCTTCTACTTCTCAATTTATCCACAGCGAGAGAAGGTACCCATGGATATTTTGAATCAAATGCTGCCAGATCTGATGTTCTGAGTTTTCTTTTCTCTCAAACGTGTTGTTGAATGGCACCTTCCTCTTGGGACAGTCTGTGCACCGACACATATGTTAATAATCCTGGGTAGTCAAGGATGTTTTCCTTCTTGCAATTCTGCACGTTTGCACATGCTTCCTGAGGCCAAATTCTTTTCATCTGTTGTCTCCTCAATTTTGTTTTGGCTCTCCTATGAAGAAGTCCCACTCTCTTAGTTAGAAAATTCCTTCCCTTTCTCCCCTACACGTAAGTGTGTCCATGGCCCTGAACTCTGAGAGTCAGAGCCCTGGGAGGCTGGGTATGACTCTGGAAGAAGGAAACCTAACGCTTCTCTTTCTTAAAAATTGAGAAGATACAAGAGAGAGGATTTTTCGGTTCCATCGACTAGTCTTCTGTGTGACCCGTTTAGAGAAACTCAACCATGTGCCTTAGTGGTTCTTGCCTTTGGAGGCTTCTCTGCCATGACATATCAGCTCTCTCTACCCAGGAGGATGAGTGTCTCCCACGCTCCCACAGATGGGAGGCTGACATGTGACTCTCCTGTTCGTCTCTTTGTTTTCCTGTGCACTCCCACAGTTGCCGCACCTTCGCCCCCACTCTACCAAGTCCAAGTGCGTCCCTTTTCCTCTTTCCACCACCATCATGTTTGTCTAGCTTGGAACACCTCTCCCTTGCTTTGTTGCAATCCATTCTCTCCTGGTTGGCATTTGCCCCCTGCTTTTCCTGCTGGTGGGGCCTTTGGAGACTGGACCCCACACTTACGCAGGGAGAGCTCCTGAAATCCCAGGGAGCTCCAGGCGACCAGTGGGATGAGGCAGAAATCCCTGGAGACCGGGCTTCACTCTGGGACTCGGACAGTGCTATTTTGTCTCTCGACCTCTGTGGGACTTTCTTGATCCCTTGTAAGTAAGTTTCAGGTTCTTCCTCCTCATAAAAGTAGGTGATGCTACTTCCCATCCCCTTCTTCTGTTCTCTTCTCCCAGGTCACCTTTCTAACTTCGCTCTTCCCATTTCTATATTCTGTTCTTCTCCACGATGGTGGCCATTGCTCGCTTTGCCTCTTCCTATGGACTCCCCTTGGCTTGGCCTGGCTCTGACCTTTCGTCTGTACCTGCCTCTGAAGCCTTCACGTTCTCCACAGAGTTTTCCTGGTTTGGTGGAAAAACACTTGAATCTTATCAGCATTTGCCATCTGGAAACCGCACTCTCCAAATGACTTGTCCTGGTTTCTGGAAACCAGCTACCATTCGTCCTCACTTTCTCCTCATTAAGATAGTATTTTCTGTTCTGGGCTTGTGTCCATTTCCCTGTATTTATCTCAGGTTGTAAATACCTGTCGTATGGAAATGCGCTTTGTAATGTCCTTTGTGTAATGCCCTGCAGGATTTAGCGTTTATTGATAACCATGACATTACAGGTGACTGACTTAACCTCGCAGATAAGAGTCTCTGCCCCTAGAACCCTCAGTTTGTTTTTCAGAGTCCATCATCTCTCATGGTTCTGGAGGGGAGGGGGTGGGGGGATGGGTTAGCCTGGTGATGGGTATTGAGGAGGGCACGGTCTGCGTGGGGCACTGGGGGTTATGCATGAACAATGAATCATGGGACACTACATCACAAACTGATGATGTAATGCATGGTGATTAACATAACAATAAAAAAATTTGAAGGAAAAAAAAAAAGAGTCTGCCTCGTGTCTGAATCCAGATGGGGTGGGTAGAGAGATGTCAGAAAAAGTCTTGCATGCTACTCTCCTCTAGCAGCTAAATTTCTGTTTAGAAGATGGAGAACTGAATTTAAATAGTCCTTTAAATTGCCAGATATGTCTCACTCTGTTTGCTTATGGGTAGAGCAATGTCTTCCTCTCTAGAGGCTGTAACCTATAGAATGCCAGGCTGTTTCCTTCTTGTTTTTTTGTTTGTTTGTTCCTTTGTTTCTCTCATTTGGCTTCATTTCACTTGTAGTATTAAAGGCTGAGGAGAAATTTGACTCATCTAAGGCTAAAGAAAGCCTTGTAAAGTTGGCTAGTAATTGACAATATGAGTGTATATTTAGAAGTACAGCATATATAAATAGGACCAGTGTTTGTAAATAGCTATTCAACTTTCCTGGTGGTCTTTTAAGTTAAGGTTCTTGGACATCATTTTGAGAGTCTACAAATAAATTTAAAAATACAGTAACCTAAGGAGTGTATAGCATGAGTCTTCCTGCTAAAATCAGGCTTTAACTTTTCTTTAGTTTATATTAATAGGATTATGAGCCTTATTTGATTCAAGAATGAGAAATGAATTCCAAATACACTTTTGCTGATTTTGTGTTCACAACCTACTTTATCTTTCAGTGTTTGTGTTTAGAAGATAAATGCCCTGCCTAGATACTCTCTCTGTGTTCCCATGTTCGGGTGTCTGTTTGAAGGGTTTTGTTTTGTTTGTTTCTCCTCTGACTGGCTGCACAGGAAGCTCCGTCCTGCATTGTGAGTTTAGCGTTTCCTTCGTTGTGTCCCACGCATCCCATCGTCTGTGCCCTCGCAGCGCGGCCAGCACCACATCTGCCCCCGTTACCATACCACCACCCCGCACTCACAGAGCCCCTCCACGTGGAGCATGCCCACGTGTTCAACATCGGTGCAGGGATGGACCGTGGAAAGGTCTGTGGCTTCATGTTGCCCTGAACAGTTTCCTTTTCCTCTTGGTTTCCCCATCACAGATACTGCAACGAGCATTTGCTGTGTCCCCCGCACATGTTCTGGACAGGCTGGGGTCCTTGGGAACGGTGCACAGCCCAGTGTGGGGGTGGTATTCAAGCTCGCCGCAGGACCTGCGAGAATGGACCTGACTGCGTGGGCTGTAATGTGGTGAGTATGAAGTTTGTTGTTCCCAGCCCGTGACCTAGAGCTGGGTGTCCCGAGCCGGCACACACTGGGTGTTCTGCACACACTTGACACACTGCAAGCGTTAGGTATTCTGCAAACACCACATGCTCTGTAAGTGTGACATGTCTAGACACTGGGTGCTCTGCACATGCTTGATACACCACAAATACCACTAGGTGTTCTGCAAACACTGCACGCTCTGTAAACATGACATGTCTAGACACTGGATGCTCTGTACACAGTAGATGCTCTACAGATACGACATGCTCTCACACACCAGATATTCTGCAAACATTAGATTTTCAACAGGCACTAGATGCTCTACAAACGCGAAATGCTCTGTAAACATGACATCCCTAGGCACAAGATACTCTGCATGCAGTATGTGCTGTAAATCATGTAAGTTTCTCTAGTTAATGAGAATATTTGGAGGAAACACTGGAAGTTCATAGTAGCTTGGAGGCTTCTTGAATTAAATATTCACTTCTGGGATAAATTGCCCCTGGAGGTTTTCAGTTCTGATTTGTGAGCTACGACAAAAGCTTCAATCTGCTTACCTCTGATCACTGTATTTGATTTGGGAAAATGGGATATAAGGTCTCCACACTGAACCACGCTAAGGTATAGAATGCGGAACGAACCTGAAACACGCTGAGGATTGAGAAACTTTATGGAGCTGTAGTCAGAGCACACTGGGGCCAATTCAGAGAGAATCAAAGACAACGTATAGTTTTGTTTTTCTTCTGCCTTAGCAGGTCATATTTCTTTTGACACTCTAAATCCTCAAATAAAATTCCACTTGTGCAAGCACCTTTCCAAAGGCCCACTGTTGCTCTTCCTGCGCCACCTGTGAGAATGACTGAGTGCGGAAGGGCGCTGGGCTTTCACCTGGTTCAGCTTCCCCGGCTGGCGCTGCGGAGCGCACGCGGTGGGTGGGCGTGTGCTGGGGGAGACGTTCTGCATGGGAAGGTCTGGCTTGGCATCCTTTCTCCCTCACCTTTCCAGTCATTCCTTATATCATTTTCATAACCTTGGTCCATGAGGCTGAGCGATGTTTTTATGCTGCAGTAAAGCTTGGTTTCGTGACACGCACAACCACACACTCCAGATAGCCATGAAAAATTCAGAGAGAGGAAGAAGGTGTGGGCATTTTTGTCAGATATGCCCAACCCAAGGAGATTTCTGTTACTGGGATTTGCAATTAGATTCCTTCCCCTTCGCACTGGCAAATATTGCTGTAGCTTTAATAGAAGCTCTTGTTGGTTCTAGAAGCACTTCTTTCCAGGTTGGCGTGAACTAAATTTTGGCCATGAAGAATCTTAGTGCCAGTTTAGAATGATGTATTTATGGATATTTCAGAGGCTGAAACTTATTAAAATGTGCAGGGTAAATCCGTGAACACTCAGTTGCTCTAGGAAAACAGTTCAAAGGGGGTAGCTTTATTCTTTGCTGAAATACATCATTTCCTGCTTCTGGTGGCTCAGCGTCAGAGACGGGGCTCCCCACTCACGTATCAGGCTTTGTCTCATCAGCTGGGAATCCGCAGGGATGGATGACCTGAGTGGATCTTGCGCTTTAGTTTCTAAAACTTTTCAGTACAAAGAACTCAGAAAACATTTCAGGTAATTCATTTTGTTATTACAAATTGACTTCAATAATTATATTTATAAACAGTTTAATGAAAGAACGAGTTGTGTGAGGCAAAGTATAGCAGATCTCCTATGTAGTCACTGGAATGTGTGTATGTGTGTATGTGTGTGTGTGAGATACATCGGGTTATAAACGTAAAAATTGAATGTCTTCCTAAAGTATTAATGTGTTTATTGCTTTGTGTCCAAATTTACAGAACTGTGTTTTATGAAACAAATATAACATCAGTTTTCAAATGCAGAAAAATGTCGTGCATTTTTCCAATGAGCCTAATGTCAGTTCTTAGGTATTTTAGGTTTTCTTGGGGTTGTTTGTTTTTTCTTCTTGACCATGTACTTCCAAGAAGGTATCACTGTGGTATAATGGAGCAGTCCATTTTTTTTTTTTTAAGATTTTATTTATTTATTTGAGAGAGAGAGAGAACAGAGAGGGAGAGTAAGAAGGCGAAGCAGATGGAACCAGAAGAGACCCCGAATAGCCAGAGGAATGTTGAAAAAAGAAAAGCAAAGCTGGCGGCATCACAATTCCGGAGTTCCAGCTCTATTACAAAGCTGTCATCATCAAGACAGTATGGTACTGGCACAAAAACAGACACATCGATCAATGGAACAGAATCGAGAGCCCAGAAATGGACCCTCAACTCTGTGGTCAACTAATCTTCGACAAAGCAGGAAAGAATGTCCAATGGGAAAAAGACCGTCTCTTCAACAAATGGTGTTGGGAAAATTGGACAGCCACATGCAGAAGAATGAAACTGGACCATTTCCTTACACCACACACAAAAATAGACTCCAAATGGTTGAAAGACCTAAACGTGAGACAGGAGTCCATCCAAATCCTAAAGGAGAACACAGGCAGCAACCTCTTCGACCTCAGCCACAGCAACTTCTTCCTAGAAACATCGCCAAAGGCAAGGGAAGCAAGGGCAAAAATGAACTCTTGGCATTTCATCAAAATAAAAAGCTTTTGCACAGCAAAAGAAACAGTCCACAAAACCAAAAGACAACCGACAGAATGGGAGAAAATATTTGCAAATGACATATCAGATAAAGGGCTAGTATCCAAAATCTATAAAGAACTTATCAAACTCAACACCCAAAAAACAAATAATCCAATCAAGAAATGGGCAGACGACATGAACAGACATTTTTCCAAAGAAGACATCCAGATGGCCAGCAGACACATGAAAAAGTGCTCAACATCGCTCGGCATCAGGGAAATCCAAATCAAAACCTCCATGAGATACCACCTCACACCAGTCAGAATGGCTAAAATTAACAAGTCAGGAAACGACACATTTTGGCGGGAATGCGGAGAAAGGGGAACCCTCCTACACGGTTGGTGGGAATGCAAGCTGGTGCAACCACTCTGGGAACAGTATGGAGGTTCCTCAAAAAGTTGAAAATAGAGCAATCATACGGTCCAGCAATTGCACTACTGGGTATTTACCCCAAAGATACCAATGTAGGGATCCGAAGGGGTACGTGCACCCCAATGTTTATAGCAGCAATGTCCACAGTAGCCAAACTGTGGAAAGAGCCAAGATGTCCATCGACAGATGAATGGCTAAAGAAGAGGTGGTATATATACACAATGGAATATTATGCAGCCATCAAAAGGAATGAGATCTTGCCATTTGCAATGACGTGGATGGAACTGGAGGGTGTTACGCTGAGTGAAATAAGTCAATCAGAGAAAGACATGCATCTTATGACCTCACTGATATGAGGAATTCTTAATCTCAGGAAACAAACTGTAGGGTTGCTGGAGTGGTGGGGGGTGGGAGGGACGGGGTGGCTGAGTGATAGACATTGGGGAGGGTATGTGCTGTGGTGAGCGCTGTGAAATGTGCAAGACTGTTGAATCACAGATCTGTACTTCTGAAACAAATAATGCAATATATGTTAAGAAAAAAGAAAAAGATAGCAGGAGGGGAAGAATGAAGGGGAGTAAATCGGAGGGGGAGACGAACCATGAGAGACGATGGACTCTGAGAAACAAACTGAGGGTTCTAGAGGGGAGGAGGGTAGGGGGATGGGTTAGCCTGGTGATGGGTATTAAAGAGGGCACGTTCTGCGTGGAGCACTGGGTGTTATGCACAAACAATGAATCATGGAACACTCCATCAAAAACTAATATGTAATGTATGGTGATCAACATACCAATAAAAAAATTTAAAGAGAAAAAAAAAAGGAAGAGAAGCAGATTCCCTGCTGAGCAGAGAGCCCAATGCGGGGCTCCATCCCAAGACCCTGAGATCATGACCCGAGCCAAAGATAGACACTTAACCAACTGAGCCACTCAGGTGCTCAAGCAGTCTGCTCTTTTATGATAGAAACACAACATTTATTTTTTTTCTCCTATGACTTTTCCCTCTTACTGCAGTTCCTGTCTCTTTGAAGGCACTGGTGCCAACTGAGCAACAGAAACAGGATGAAGGACGGGCTTGGCTTTGTTGGATTACTGAGAAAATGTATCCCATCAGTTAAATCCCTAAGTTTATTTTAAAATGATAGGCTACTTAAAGGAACATGCTGATTATCAGATTCTCGCTACAGTTTATAAATCTTGAGGCACAAAGTCGGTTCATTTTTTATGGAGGTCTTCTATAAGTTAATAGCTGTTAAGCATAGGTAACATTTTGATTTGGAAGTCATGAAGTTGATTATCCACTTGCCAATATCTATATGGATGACGAGTCAGGTGGCATTTCTGAATCAGTCTTCTCCCCCAAGAAGGGGACAACAGTCCCTTCCCCCCACAGGGCAACTGTGAGTATCAAAGGTGGTGATGTCTGTGGGGTTCTGTGCTTTCCTTCTCACCCGTGTTCCTGTTTGTTACTCCTGGACTCCAGCTGCTTCACCAAGTTCAAGCTTACTGGAAATGGCCGTATGCTACTGAAATGTTATTTACACAGCAAAAGACATGTCTTTGGAAATGATAAGAACTTGAATTTCCTGAGGACTGTAGCAGTTTATAGAAGAAGAGTTGATTTCAAGTTCAAGTATGAAGAAGATATAAAAGACGAGAATCTTTTCTCGCTCCACCATGTTGAAATTGAAATACTACAAAGAAATTTCCCAAGTGTCACCTGTGAAATTCTTATGTTCTTGTCTTGTCTTCGAATAAATCTCTAAGCCTTTATTTAAATCTCAATAAGAAGTTGAGTTCAGACAAGTAAAAGAGCTCTCTTTGAAAGCTATTATCTTTTTCCTTGAAAACCTGCTCTTAAAATTCCAAATGTTGACATTTCTTCAAGATCTTGATTTCAGTTCCATTGGATAAACATGGAGAAATGGGCTTGCTGGATCATATGGTAGTTACATTTTTAC